GGACTGCCATCATAATATTATTAAATTGACATAAACAGTGAAATCACTTGATATGAACCATGTTCACTTACTTTCCATGGGCAGTTTCCCCTGAAAGCATGACTGCATCAGCACCTTCACGTACTGCAATTGCTATATCTGAAACCTCGGCCCTTGTTGGTGTAGGATGACCAATCATGCTTTCCAGCATGTTTGTTGCTACAATAACTGGTTTCTGCATACTGTGACACCTTCTAATGATGTCTTCCTGTTTGCAAGATCATGCAACTCTTGATTAAACAAGGAACTGAAGTACTGTGATTAAACTCTAAACAGGACAAGTATTAAAAGGGTAAGTGTTGTTGCCAGTTAACAAGGCTACATACAGGTACAGATGGCCATTTCACCTACTATAATTTTACCTGGTTGGATAAGCCATGCACCGTGAGTAGGTATTGCTAAGAAATAACATGTATTTAGACAACAACAAAAACAACTGAGCCTCGATTTTAAACTTGTTGGGGTTGGTTTTATGAATCGCTATGCACCCTTCCTAATACATCATGTACTAAATCCACCAAATAAAATGCGTGTAGACAAACTACAAAAATGACCCATATGATGGATCTCTAGAATTCATTTTAAGCTATTACTAGTGTAATCTTTTTTTCTTAGATTCAGAAGTAACTTCTCAATATCTCCAAGAAAGTGGTGAGTCCTCAAACTTTTCCATTCTAATCAAGCCCCACAGAGAAAATTTGACACATGTATTATGTGCAACATGGAAGTTAGTTAGACATGTCACATGCAGTTCAATTACCTGCAATAAAGGGACTTCCTCTATTGGAAGTTCAGCACCAAGGTCTCCACGAGCAACCATTGCCTATAAAGGCCACAAAAAACAGTTAAACAGGAACTAAACATTATGATACAAAGTAATAGATAACCTGAACTCTAGCACATGAACACATGCACGGGGTGTGCACAAGGCACATCCTGGCACAGAACAGAAAATCATTCTCCTGTAAAGAAGACTAAAACACACAAGCACACTTGAGGGAAAAAAACAGCCCTTAATGAAAACACTCGCTACAAACACAAATTAATTTCTTTTCCTTGACTTCATAATGGCATAAAAAATCTGTAGTAATTCATTAAGAATATTGAAAACTGACCCCGTCAGATGCGGAAATTATTGAATGAAGATTTGGTATGGAGTCAGCACTTTCAATTTTTACAATCACATGAATTTCAGCACTGCAGCCTGCATCAAAATAGTTAAAATAGATAAACTGAACAGGTATGAATTCTCGAATGG